ATGCATGCATACCGCTATATCTCGAGTGATCACACTGCGGTAGCAACAGTACAACAGCTTCTCGCCCTTCGGATCGGCAGAAAGTAGGACATTCGTACCGCGTTTGGTGGCAGGGAGTGCCGCGAAGGTTTTATCTGCGTTCAAAATGGTACACAGATGTGTTGATGGGTTTATTTCCAGATCACGCGTTAAAATATCAGTAAATTTGGATTGGCATTCACTTATAGTAGGAAGCAGTAAGTATGTCAGGTTAATGAGGATGAAAAACTTGAGACAGAACATTGATATCTAACGACAACCCAGTCTGTATTCTAATTTCTGGAATCTCAGACGATTAAGAAGGCCATCTAAGTACCACATGTGGTATTACGAGACCTTTTTCAAAGTAGCAAAGGGTAACCAGTCTATCACTCAGACTATGACACAAACACCATTTTTTAATTGCTCTAAACTGACAAATACTTTATGCATCGTTGTAAACACTAGAGCTGCAGACAAGTGTACACCCATAACCCCGGCTGTGAAGGTAGAAAGTATACCCATGTATATTAAAAACAGAGGGTGTTCGCTTGTTGCTTTGTCACCATACCTAGAGTGATGGACATCTTGGCTGCCGAACTGAGCTTATGTGCGCACTACAACTAACGGGATATAGAATTATAGATACAACTACACACTTCAGAAGTTCAGATACGCTCATTTAACACCCTCTGACCTCTGGTTGTTTATTTATAGCATAGGCCTTGGTATTTACATTTTTAAGCTCTTTTTTATATAATTAACCTCGAGCATTTCTGATTTCACGTTGGCGGTTGGTCGGGTCACACAAGTTTTTGTTTTCTTTTCAACTTTTAAAATTTATCTTCCAATCAAATGCGAGAGACAGCTAGAGCCAAACTGAGAATGCTTCAGATATAAATACATAGTCTAAATACATACGGCTACTGTTGTGTCGTATGTTCATACCCGTAGCCATAATACCCATTGTCTAAATACTACTACTATGTGCATACCCATAGGTGTCCATAGTACCCCTTGTCTAAATAATACTACTATGTACATACCCATAAGTGTTCATAGTACCCATTGTCTAAATACTACTACTATGTACCCACCCATAGGTGTCCATAGTACCCCTTGTCTAAATACTACTACTATGTACTTTCCTATAGGTGTCCACAGTACCTGTGTGTTATCTTTAGCTGGCCTGTACAATTTGTGTAAATAATGTGCAATGCGGAGTTGTGAAGTGATGTGAAAGCCTGAACGACAGAAGGCCGAAGGGTTCGTAACTTCATAGTGTATAGTTTCTAACAACATGTACAAAGGTACTTCAAACAACGCGTCGCTTCAGAATACTTTGAATTAATGATGATGGTTTACTTCTTTTTCTATAAACAATACACTTTCAGTGACTCGGCCGACATGCCGTTCAACGCTACCAGTTACAGTAGCGGTAGATAACATTTTCTTCCGTAATTGTAGCTTTGCTATACAACCCCCTTGAAAGTACCGCCACACGACACACAGTCGCATATCAGTAATATGATTTGTAGCATCGTGGTGGGTACTCAGGCTATAGCAGAAAAATTGAATTGAGAGACTATGAGGTGCATAATAATCATCATGGGGGAACAAGCCTAGCCATTGGCAACCTTACCACAAGCAAGTTTGGAAACAATATTCAAAAGGGACATATATAGTAGACTCCAATTCGTCGTATGTTAGCGAAAGGAAACAATCCCTCTATTGTGAAGTAGTCTGCATCTATAAACGCTTATTTTTAGGAGAATATCATAGTATAGGATAACAGGGTTTAGGGTTTTTCATTGCATTTTTTTTTCCAGGCGTATAAATATGTACCTATAGGCGTGCACATATGCATACAATACGTGTCTCGCTTGTGCCCGAGCACGAGCTATTGACATCAGCAGTTCACCATACAGCTGCAGTATTTGAATATATAATCATAATCTATCAGTTAGTTTTGTTCTACAACTCATAAAGATACAATAGGAGGTTATGAGAAATGTGTGGACATATCTTTTTTAGTCGGTGGTGAGGCTATCCGCGGTATGCCTTCATCCCTTGAGCACATATTGATCGGCTCTGTGTCTGCCACCTGTCGAGCTGTGGGTGTGAACTGCGAACCCGTTAACTATTATACATGTTATTGTACTGGCAGCTTTGATTAACACACGCCGAAATAAGACAGCGAGTGACAGTGTACCTACCGAATGTCCTGGTTGTATTCAAGTACAACATCTGAGCTGAATTGTTAATGCGCCTCAGCAATGAAGAAATATACAAAAGCATCAATGATGAGCGTTGAATGGAGAGCCTGTAGCGGAGATGTAGATGTAGATATATATATATCGCTTGCCAAGAATTCGAATTACATTATGAATATTCACCGCGAAGTGATCTAAACAGCTGACTACAGCCTAAAGTCTATTATTAACACTTACAAAAAAACACTACAGACAGGCAAGGTCCGTGAAGAAACAGTAAAGAAAATAATAATAGTAAGAATAAGTCATAGTATGTTGGCGGTGCCAATTAACTACAGACCACAGCAAGCATTTAGTGTATTTACATATCTGAGAATAAAATATTAATAGTAAAAATAAGTCATAGTATGTTAAAATAAGTCATAGTATGTTAAAATAAGTCGTAGTATGTTAAAATAAGTCATAGTATGTTGAAATAAGTCATAGTTTGTTAAAATAAGTCATAGTATGTTGAAATAAGTCATAGTATGTTAAAATAAGTTGTAGTATGTTGGCGGTGCCAATTAACAATATACCAAGGCAAGCCAGTAGTGTATATACATAGCAATCGAGTATTCCGCCTGGTTACATAGACGAGGTGTTTATTCTGACCGCCTAGGTACGCCCAGCGCACTTACAGTGGTCACTTCTCATCTGTTCTCGTGGGTCGGCCGTAGCTGTTACACAGAACAGGCATGGGCAGACAATACTATCGACAGCAGCGTACAGTCCGTCATCTCCAATCAGTCAATTCTAAGCTACACGTGACGCTACTGTGCTTTCCCTATCCAACAATAGTCGCTGTTTCGAATCAGTCAAGCTAAGCTACACATGACTTTCCTTATCCAACAGGAGTTACTGTTTCATATCAGTCATGCTAGTTACACATGACTTTCTTTATCCAACAGTAGTTACTGTTTCATATCAGTCATGCTAAGCTACACATGACTTGCCTTATCCAACAGTAGTTACTGTTTCATATCAGTCATGCTAGCTACACATGACTTTCCTTATCCAACAGTAGTTACTGTTTCATATCAGTCATGCTAAGCTACGCATGACTTTCCTTATCCAACAGTAGTTACCGTTTCATATCAGTCATGCTAAGTTATACATGACTTTCTTT